TGCCGATGTGCAGGGCGGGGCGGTTGTTCTCGCGGACCAGCAGGGTGTAGACGGCCCGGGTGAAGGCGGGGGCGTTGTCGTTGACGTCGGAGACCCGCACGGTGACGTGGTGCTGGGTCTTCAGCGGGGGAGTCCCCAGGTCGGTGACCGTGATGGTGATGTTGTACTCTGATCTGATCTCCCGGTCCAGGGCTGTGCTGGTCACTAGACTGTAAAAGTTCTCAACAGAGGGTTTCAGGAAGAAAGGAAGACCATCTTGGATGGAGCAAACCATCTTTCCGTTGTCTCCTGAGTCAGAATCTGAAACACTGAATACAGCAATGACGGTCTCCTGCAAGTTTTCTGGAATCTGATTGATAAGTGTGGACATGGTCAGTTCTGGAGGGTTGTCATTCACATCCATCACTTGGATAAACACCACACAACTTCCAGTAAGGCCCCCACCATCTGTCGCCTGAATATTCACTGTAAAAGTCTGAACCGATTCGAAATCTAGTTTCTGTGTTAAAAGAAGTTCTCCCGATTTTGCATTTATTTGAAATGTTTTTCGAATGTCTTCAGAGGCTTGGGAAAATGCGTAAGATATTTCTCCATAGGCTCCAATGTCCAAATCCCTAGCAGAAACAGTGACAACCTGGGAACCCACAGGGCTATTCTCTGGGACTTGCACCTCATAGAGCAGCTTTGCAAACTCTGGGGCGTTGTCGTTGACGTCCACGACTTCAATGCGTACCAGAGCAGTGCCGGACCTGGGTGGAGTCCCGCCGTCCAGCGCTGTGAGGGTGAACCTTACCTCAGGATGCTCCTCGCGATCCAGCGCTTTGTCGAGCACCAGCTGTGGTAATACGCCATCAGGACTGCCTTGTAATTTGAGATGGAAGTGGAAACTGGGGCTAATTGTGTAATTTTGGAGACTGTTGGTTCCTACATCTAAATCCTGCGCACGTTCTAGTAGAAAAGTACTTCCAGGAGTGACACTTTCTGGAATTTTCAAAGTCATTTCCTTGTCTAGAAAAACCGGGGAATGATCATTTATGTCTCTAACCTGTAGCTTGGCCTGAAAAAACTGCAAGGGATTTTCCAGTAACACCTGGAAAGGTAGCACACAGGGCTCGGTGGGGCCGCACAGCTCCTCCCGGTCCAGTTTCTCATTTAACAACAAATCCCCGGTCTGCCTGTCTAAATGCAAACGTAATTTTTTTTCTTTAGAAACGACCCGGGCTCCCCTGGCAGCTAGTTCTCCTACTTCCAACCCAATGTCTTTTAACAAGTTAGCCACAAAGAAGCCACTCTCCGTTTCCTCGGCCACTGAATAGTGCCTAGGCTCGGAACCAGCCTGAGCTATGCACAGCAAAACAAAGAGAATCAGGACTTGCCTTTGTTTCAGAACGCGCTCCTTTTGCTGCTCTCTGGTCTCCATCTCCTCCGGTCTCCCAGCAAACCTGCTCCTGCTCAGGCTCATGTTGTTGCTGACCTAATCTCCCAGTGTCTCACAGGAATAAAAGGACAATCCCAGAGGCCCCGATTTCCTGGAGCGATCGCCTTAGAAAGCCTTCTCTTCCTGCTCGCTTTTTAAGCTGAGTATCTGGGTAAAGGAAGGTCAGCTGGCTGCTTTGTTTCTTCTACTTTTAAGGCTGCAGCGCCACCCTGCGTCTTTTGTGTGTGTTGATTTTCTCCAAAACTACGAAAATCCCACTCCTTTCAGACTGATGGCAGTTTAAATTGAGTATGTTCAAGTAGTGTCTCTCAGCGTACCAAAGTCTTATAGGCGTTTCGAAAGGCTTTTCGTTGCACCGATAACGACATGGCAAGCATAAGTAAATCTCCACTCCAGTTTCCTCGCAGATCAAAGCAGTTCTTTTCAAACTGGGAAAAACGAATTTCAGAAACTGGAACGAAGTGACCTCGGTTCTAGAACGCGGCAGAAAGAAGGCTTTGACTAGGCAGTTCTCAGTTTTTATTCAGAGTTTGGGCGTGCGTCCACCTCGGTGATGGTTAGGTTACCATTTTCACACTCAAACCCAAATGAAAAGTATAGAGATCCAAGAAAAGCACAGAATCCAAATGAGAATGTTCTTATGGACACTGAAATGTTTTCATTCATATTTGTCTCTTGCACTGCTCCCACTTCACACTTTCCTGAACTCTGATGTATCTCAGTCACATGAAACTCTCCAGAGTAGCTGGATATTTTATTCTTGTAAATATGTCAGTATTTTTATTTTTTTCTTTCTAATGAATAGGAGCATGTTTCAGCATGAGCTCAATTCAATGATCACATCTAGCAAAGGAAATAACAATTTCATAATATCAAATACCCAGTAAATATTTAAATTTCCCAAATTATCTTTGAAAATGTCTTTTTAGAGATGGCTTGTTAAGTCCAGTTCCAAACAAGGTTTATATATTGCAGTTTGTTATGTTTTTAAAGTTTTTGTCTTTTAAAGAATACTTAATATAAAGAATAAGTTTGAAAAATAACTTCATAACATGAAGAAACGACATGAAGGAAACTTAAATGCATATTTCTTAGTGAAATAATTCAGTCTTAGTGAAAGAAATGGTTACAGATTATATGATTCAAATTACACGATATTCTGAAAAAGGTAAAACCATAGAAACATTAAAAAGATCAGTAGTTGCCAGGAAGGGGCAGAGGGGGAATGAAGAGGGATTTTTAGGGTGGTGAAACTTTATGATACAGTAATGGTGGATACATGATATTATGCATTTGTCAAAATCCACAGAACTATAGAACACAAAGAGTTAACTTTGTAGTAAACTATGTACTTTAGTTAATAATATATAAATATTGATTCATCAGTTGTAACAAATGTACCATACTAATGCAAGATTTTGATAAATAGGGAAACTTAGTGTGAGAAAAAGTGTACATAGGAACTCTGCACTATCTGCTCAATTTTCTGTAAAACCTAAAACTGCTCTAAAAATAGTTGTTAATTTAAAATATTTGTATTATAATTTTCAAATATATAAAAGTTAAAAGAACTATACAATAAATACCATTATAACTTCCATTTAAATTATTGTTTCTATTTTGTCATATTGCTCTATCTTCTTACCTATCTTATTCTAAATACGTTCCCCTTTTTTTTTTGCAGATTTATTTGGCAGTAGCTAGCAGATATCATACTTCATCTCTAAATATTTCAGCAGCCATCACCTCATTATAAGAGCATTATCTCATATAATAATGATACTATCATACCTAAGAAAATTAACAATTCCATAATACTATCTAAAATCTAGTCCTTATCAAATTTTACTAGTTGTCTTTCCATTATCCTTCTCCCAATTTTCTTCAATTTTTATACAAATTCACATTTACTCAAGTTCTTTAACAAACACATTTTCTTAACCATTTGTTTAAAAAATGTATTAGAAACATTTTTTCAACCAAGTTTTATAATTGTATTTGGATGTTGGGTTTATTTACTTTTCAGTAGTTCCCCCATCTCTATGACATTGAATTTCTGAAGTGTCCAAATCAGTTGTTATGTAGGATGTCCCAGTGCTGAGCTTTCTTGATCGCTTCTTCATGGTGTCATTTATCCTGTTCTTCTACCCCCTGTATTTCCAGAAAACTAAACTGGATGATTTATTAAATATAACAATGGTATATGTTTTTAAAAGGGTTCTATTGAAATCACACAATAGAATTTAGAAAACAAATGCCTACTTCTATCCTGTTATTTTTTGCTATTCATGACTATTTCTTTTATGTGGATATTATAATAATTCAAAATATTTTAATCCATTGACCTTGATAATTAAACACAGTTCATATTCATTTAGGTGAAAAAAACCCAAGGGCTAAGCCTTTTAAAATCACACTTTATACAAGCTGAAAAATTTAATTAGGTTCAGAAGTAGGTGTAGTGAAGATCATCTGTATCAATGATGACTGGTAACGCACTTGAAATTTTACACTTAACCAAGTATATGTTTATTTTGTTTGGATAGGTTCTCTGCACTAAAGCAATTATGATGAATTTGTGATAACATAAAGGAAAGCAGGCAATGTGAAGAAAATTATATAACCTAGCACCTCTCACAAGCTGAAGAAGAGAAAAATCTCTAAGCTATTTCAGAGGCAATAATACTAAAGAACACATTAGATTTTATTGTGCAAAAATTGTAAAACTTCTCATGTTGAGTCATATATATAATCATAAGGTTCATAAGGTTTTACCCACCTTTCAGTTTCAATGCTATTAACACATCTACAAATAAAAGGAAGTGCCTCTTTTTCAAATATGATAGAACCAATACCAATATTTCATATGTGTAGATGGATTTCTAGTTTTAAATACATTATATTCAATATGCTATTTTTTTTTTTAATTTTTTTTTTGAGTTGGAGTCTCACTTGG